CGGAAATTGGCCTACCTCCTGGGGAAAGTCATCCCTGGCCCAGAAAGTACCAGACGACTCGGCCGCGGGACCAGGAAAATAATCCCCAGGATGGGCAAACGCTCCAAAACAAGAACGAACCGAATTGGGCTCCTCCAGAGCCTTGCAAACAAGCTCGGGAGTGACCAGACTGGAACGGAGCTCGACAACCTCCTGGCACCTGCAGACCCAGAGTCGATGGTGGAGCGTGTCGGGGGCTGAGCCGCAGAGGTTGCACGTGGGGTCTATCTGGTAACCCAATCGAACAGCTTTAGAACGAGTCCAAACAGCGTCCGTCGCAACAGCCCGAATACAACCTTTCTCGAGCGCCGAATATTTTTTGCGGCGGAGCTCGGACTTCACCACATCAAAGCAAAGACGATGAGGCACATCCCATTTAGCACCTGCTTCCCATTCAAGAATCCTGAAGACGGCCCCACGGAGATGCTGCTTGACAAGCTGGGGGGACATGAGGGTCATGGAAAGCTCGATCCCCTTGTCAGTGACGAAAGTGGCGAAGTCCCTCATCGTCCACGAGATCCTCTCCAAGGACTTGCGCATGGCGGCCACAGGACCACCTACCGCCCTCCACGAGGGGGAAGCCTGAAGAAAAACACCTTCCCACGCTTGCCTCAGCTCCCTGAAAGGAATCGAGCCTTCAAAGGCCCTAACCTGAGAGCACCACACTTCCTTGTGCCACCGCAAGATCGGGGAAACGGCCCCAACCCAAGCAGGGTCGCCCTCGATGTGGGAAAGCACAGTCAGGGAGCGTTGGCCAGCTGAAGGCTTAATAGTCCTGGCCGCCGCACGTCGGATGAGCAACAACTCGTAGTCAGTAACCCCTCTAACCTCGCTGCCATACAGCAAGCCAGGGAGCGGTCCTGAAGTGAAAACTCGCAAAGTTCCCCTGGAACCAAGGGTCTTACGAAGTTTAGCCACACGGCCAGTGCGTTTGGTGAAAAGACGCCTCCTAATCAAGAGCTTTTTGTTGCGGCCCTGGGCCCGAGAACTTTTCCCCACCGTGTCGTCCACCCCAAGGTTAACAGCACTGGAAGTAATGGGCCCCGTGAGCTCGACTCCCAGTTTGGCCTGAATGGCCCAGCCAAGCTTGGCCGAGGAACAAATAAGACTGGATTTGTCTGCCGCCACCTGCGCACCAATGCCATCAACAATGGCTGCGTGGAGCTGGGGCGCGCCTTCCGTGATGGCGTCCACAACAAAATTGAAACTGCCGACAGCACTGAGACCAGAATCGTCGATGTAGAGCGCCAGTTGAGCACCCTGTCGTAACCTAACAGTATCGAGCGACTCCACAGCGTTAACCCTGATCAGGGTCGTGGCCAACGAACACCCCGCGATGATGCCCGAAGAAGCGTACCAAGGACCGTCGATGCAGCCTCCAAGGGAAAGAAACCTCGGGGCCCTGTAGGCCCTAACGGCCAACTTGGCCATGGCAACCGGGAAACCCAATCTCAAGCAACGATCTAGGAGTCGCTCGAGATCAATGAGCTCGTAATATTTAAACATGTCCTGCAGGAGGGTGGCCGCATGTAAGTTGTGAGTGGCCCCACTCTCGCTGCGGACGCTCTGCCGCCACACAACGCCGGAAGCCCCCTGGTACTTGCCCGCAGCAAAGTAGGGACGAGCGTGCGCCCCCTCCCAGCTCTCGGCAAGGCACCGCCGCGCTTTCCCCCAAATGCGGTAAGGACCCATGAAAATACCAATAGGGCGGAAACCTCCAGTAGGTTTCCCCAGGAGCGCCAACACCGTGGCATCGAGCTGAAAAGGCAACATGCTGGAGATTTCCATGACCTGCAGGATCTTACAAAGCGCAGTGACCCCAGGGAGGGAAATCATACTGAAATGTTTCATGTGGAAACCGTCCACACCCACCGCCGAATTCACCTTGTAGCATCCCGACAAACGAACCAACTCGTTGGGGTCTAAAGGGGGAGGCTCAGGGGCAGGAGCGAAATCGGCAATAGGTCCCAACTCTAACGGGGAGTTAACCGCGCGCCACAAATGGGTAAACTTGTTGCGTTCAGCCTCGAGAAGGGACCTGGGGTCACTAACCACACAGCCGTTGGCCGAGAGAGTGGAAGTAGGTTTCCAGGGCTTGGGTTCAGAAGTGACCATGTGCGCTCGCTTGGCCCCCTGATCGATGTTCTCTCTCAGCCAGCTACGCCAGGAAGCGAGACTGCGATCCCTAGCGCTGGCTTCAGCCTGCGCGACCAAATCGGAGACCAAGAGATACAGATCGAGAAAGTCATGTTCGAGCTCTCCGCTCGAATTCAGATCGGCACGGTTGATCATGGACTGCGGAGAGATGAGCAAGTCCTTATGGGCACCAAGATTCTCGACCACGAAAGGGGGAGGGTGAGAGATGTAAGACCTCAAGGCCCTCGCAAAATCACCTCCACTGTTCTTGGCCTTTTGGGGATTGAAAGACATATACACCTTGCAGTCCAAGATGCGATTATACAGCCACCTGACAGAGCACAGAAAGGGGTGTCTAAGAGGTTCCTTGTCCTTCGAAAAAACAGGCTTCCACACAAGCTGTGGGCCCTTACCTCTCGCACCCCAAACTGGAAGAACCGATTGCGTGGCGTTGGCCACCTCCACTTCCGCAAGGTTGGCCCACCACTTGTAAGTAAGATTGAGCAGCCTTTGAGTTTCGGCCCCCCTCCCCGCCCTGGCGGCTACCAGAGCCGCTTCCAGCACTTCGAGAACAGGGTCCCAAGACGGGGGTTCCCGAGTGGGCCCGATGGCCCTCTGGGGGGGGAAGGGGGGGAGGTTTCCGAAATTCCAGAACGTTGAGTTGAGCAGGCGAGGGGAAAAGCTCCAGATCCACAGGGGAGTGGGGGGTGAGAGGGGAATTGTAGTTAACACTCACCTGCCTGATAACCTTCGCGATGCCAGCCGAGACGACAAAGAAATCTGAGACTTTGAGGCCCCCCGTGCTGCGGAGCGTGTAGCCTCCGTCTATCGGGGTGATCATCTGGCCTTTGAACTCCGAAACGAAATGAGACTTCTGAAACTCACCTGGAGTCATGTTGAAGTCGCCTCCCGCGATGACGGGGAGATCTGAATGGGAAAGTCCAGCTCCGAGACGCGACAAGATCTCCACGTTGCGCTCAGAAAGACCTTCGACGTCATGAAGGTAGATCGATCCGACAAGGACCTGAAAACCTCCTGGAATATCAATAACACAAGCTCCAGCACGATGAGGGGACAGTACGAAGCCCGACGACAAAGTGTGAAGCCCGAGGTAAGATCTAGCAATAACCGCAACTCCTCCTGAAGACCCAGTGCCCTCCCCACGAGCGGCCGCCGCCCAACGCGACTTCCACCCACGACGAAAGAGCCATTCCGAAGCCTTGGAGATGTCTTCCTCTGAGCACAAGTGATGTTCTTGAACTAACAAAACGTGCGCCGTAGTCATTGGCAGCCACTTATTCTTCAGTGACTGCCATCCTGACACATTACAAGTCTGGACACATAGCCCGAAATTCTCCAAATCAGGCGGAGGAGGGGGCTGGAGAGAGCCTTCTACAAGCACTCCCGCGGCCACATCCTGGCTGAGGAGAGGAGACGAGCCAGCCGACATCAGCTGAGGTGGGCTAGGAAGGAGTCCGAGGAGCAGGAGCCTCGGCGGGAGTGGCAGCAATCGTCCTGGCCCGCTTGGCCGCTGCCTCGATGAAAGTCGAGACGCGTTGCCTCGATTCACTCGGGACTTCCTCCGACTGTGCCTGCTGCCACTCATGTAAAAAATTCTGGAACGCTTCTGAATCCGCAGCCTCGACCTGAGGCATTGCTTCATCAGCTTGAGCAGATTCACCCGTCCCCACACCAGCCTCGCCACCCGTCCCCCCTCCACTGTCTGAGGCAGCAGGAGCAGCTCCACTGCCTGCAGCCTCCTTCTGGGCGACGGATTGGCAACTGGTCTTGAGTTTGGCCCAGCCCTCACGAATGGCGGCCAGGTCGCCAGACTCCAGCACGCTGTCGAAGTTGGACAGGTGCCCCTGGAGCTCCGCCTGCGGCGGGGGCGGGAGGTCGGCCACCTTGGCCGCCAGCTCCAGGTACCTGGCCTTGAGCTGCACCTGCTGGGTTGCGGTCTCCGCCCTCTTCTCTTTGAGCTCCGCGAGGCGCGACTCCGTGTCGGCAATCTGGGAGTCGATCGAGTTGAGAGCACGAACATTCTTGTCAAGAGCCTGCTGGGCCTCTGACGCCTGCTGCCGAAGGGGACGAGCCTCTGACTGCTGAGAACGAATAGCTGAAGCCGATGCCGCGATGGAGCTGGCCACCGCTGCACGCTCTGGGAAATCGTCCTTGAGCTGGCCCATGAGAAGCTGAAGCTGTGCGAGGAGCGAAGACGGATCTGCTGGATGAGCCAGAGCGCCTCCACGACCGCCAGGTCCTCCCCCGACGCCGCCGCCTCCGCCACCCCCAAGCCCGCCTTTGCCACGCCCACCTTTGGGTCCTTGACCTTTATGAGATCCTTTGGGGCCAGGAACTGCAGGACCACTTTGCCACACACCCCCAGGGTCGCGAGGAGCGCCAGGAGAAACATGCGGAATGGGAGCCCAACAATTCGCACACCATTTGTACCACGGTTTGTTGCACTTCGCAGCACCACACGAGAGACATTTCGCACCGATGATCTCATGCTGCTTCGGTCCCATGGGAGACGCTGCGAAAGAGTGCTGACTGTCTGAACGAGCCACTTGACCCGCTAGCGCAGTGTGCCGTTCTGAAGTATGCGCTAGCAAGCCCAAATCACTTGGGCCAGAACGGCTAGGAGGAGGAGGAGGAGGAGGAGGAGGAGGATAGGGAGGAAGGAAGAAAGGCAGGAAAGAGGACGAGGAGGAGGAGGAGGAGCAGCAGGAGGAGGAGGAGGAGGAGGGTTGCTTGGGGAGGCCCGGACAGACGCTGCAGGCACCTGAAGCCCCGCCCCGCCGCTTTGAGGGGGTGCCCTGGGTGACCGTCCGCCGGAGGTGCGCTTGGGCGAGATGGGCTCCTCCTCGGGGTTGTCGACCATGGAGAAGATCTGCCGCGGCGGAAACGGCAGGGGCGTGCGCACATTTCACTGTAGGCATTTTGGCCCAGAGCGCTAAAGCGACGAGGCCAGACCGAGGTTAGCTGAACTCCTCGGGGGCCATTGCCACGTTGAAAACATCGTCTCATTTTATCGGGTTGTCGACCATGGAGAAGATCTGCCGCGGCGGGAACGGCGGCCGCGCCGCTTCGGGCTGTTCGGTCCGCGACAGGAGCAGGAGGAGAACAACTTCGGATGAGGGCGACGAGGACAACGATGCCAACGACAACGAACGCAACGACAATGGCAAGAACGACAACGACGATGACAACGATAGCGAGAACGATAACAGCGACAACAACGTAGCGTTGCTATCGTTGTCGTTGCTATCGTTATCGTTGTTACCGTTAACACAATCATCCCGTATCAGAAGGATGCGCGATAAGGATGCGAGGGCCTTGGACGCCCATATCGAAGCTTCTCGAGCAAGGCGCAACCAGTGAAAGTGGCCAAGGGATGCACCGAGGAGGCAAGGATGCAAGGGCCCCCTTGGGAAGGTTGCCCATCCTTACTATGCGGGTTGACTGCGGCCCCAGAAGTTCCGACCCCTTCCCCGGTGGTGTTTCTTCGTCCTGGATCGATGCTGGATGGCCCCCGGGCCCGATAACAGGCCGACATCCAGGCAAAGCCGCCGGAAAGAAAAAATCATATCGTCGGACCTCGGGGTGTATACCCTCGGGGCGGGAAGGCCATGGCCACCCTTCCTGCGCGGGCGGATCCGCACCGCTCCGGGCACTCTGCCGAACCCCGTGGGCTCTATGGGGTCCGTGCGCGTGCGCCTGCCTGGCCATGCACACCGAGCAATTGGGCCCCGGGCTGCTGTCGGCCGAGGCCTGGCCGGGGTCGCCCGCCGAGTCGGGAGGATGTCGAATCGGCGGAAGTCGGCAGGCTGCCCAGACCCCGGCTGCGAACGAAATCACGGCGGGAAGGTTTTCGCTCTCGTCGGCCTCCGGGGGCCATTCCATGGGCCTCGGGAGCGTCCGAAAACGACCCACAATGATTAAGGGGTCCCCGGGAAAGGGTCCAGACCAGGATCGACGTTGTGAACAAATCACGACGTCGGGGGCCATACGGAGAGATCGGAGTCCACAGATCGGAATCCGAAGCCGCAGCTCGAATCGACATCGGATCGGACGCCATCGACATTGAACCAGCTTGCTTCGCAGGGCTCGAATCGAGCCCTGCGAAGGCCCAAACCACTTCTCTATAGGGCCGGCTTCTCGTCCTGAGCCGTTGCTTGACGCTCCCGAGGCCTGGCGAGGGCCCCTGGAGGCCGAGAACGGCCAAAAACCGCCCGCTCCGTTTTTTTTCCGGAGCGTCGGATGTCTAGGTGCACACGATCGGTGCCAAAATGCCCGGGGCTGCCGCGCAGAATCGACTACACGCAAGAGGGGCCCTGGGCCGGAGTACAAGAGTGACCTGTGGTGCGCGGCCCTAGGGGACCGCGAAGGGCCCAGGTCCAAGCGCGCGGGCCGATGCTGGGGCCGCCCCTGTGTGAGCCCGCACCGAAAGCCACTCCGGCGAAAGGTCACTCCTACGCGTGGTCGACTTGTGCAGTCCCAAACCTGGATAGCGACGTAGTCGAAAGCGCGTAAAACGCTGAAGGCTTATGGGGTGCTGGCAAGGGCGCTGGAAAGCATGCCTGGTGAGCTTGCAAGCGTGGGAAACGCCTGTGTGAGATGCATGCCAGGACGGTCGAAAGGAAGTTTGGGGAGCATCCAAGCTTGGAAACACGAGCTTCGAAGGAGCTTCGAAGGACCTTCGGGGAGTCTTCAGGCACGCGTATTGGGAACGAGTAGGAAAACGCTGGCCGGACGCTGCAGCCTCAAGCAGCCTGCTCTGGGGATGCCTGCCCAGGAGCCTTGGAGAGGGCCTGGCGCAGCTCTGCCTGCTGGCTTCTTATCTGGAACCCTCTTAGCTCTCCAAGGAGCTATCCCGGAACAGAAACAACATCGCCCGACGTCATGGCTTTTTCTTCATTGCGTCGACACCCGGAGGTCTCGACGCATTCCCCTGGACCCGTTTTTGTGATCCTGAGCGCTTCTGTTGACGGCCCCGAGGGCCGGCAAGCGCCCCCAGACGCCGAAGATAGCAAGACACCTCCCGTCATGACCTTGCCGTTGCCCGAGGGGGTCCGGGCCCTGCGCGTGGCCGCCAGAAGCCCGTCGCCCGAGACCCCCCGGGGGCCGAGCGCGGCGTGGCGGCGGCGGGCCTTGTCGGACGCGGTGATCTCGAGGTCGGCCCGGTCGGCGGAGCTGCTCCGCGAGGCGGGTGCGGCGGCCGCCGCCTCGGGCGCCCCGTGCTCGGTGCGCCTGCGGCGCCGCGCCGCTTTTTCTGCTGCATTCGTGAGTTCAGGACTCTCTCCTCATCTTCCTCTTCCTCCTCCTCCTCCTCCTCCTCCTCCTCCTCCTCCTCGTTGTTCTCCTCCTCCTCCTCCTCCTCCTCCTCCTCCTCGTTTCTCTTCTCTTCTCTTCTCTTCTCTTTTCTTCTCTTCTCTTCTCCTCCTCTTCCTCCTCGTCTTCCTCCTCCTCCTCCTCCTCCTCCTCCTCCTCCTCCTCTGGTGCCGCGCTCAGTGCACGGCTTCTGTCTGCCTGCCTGTCGTCTCCTTTCCCCGGCGCGCCCGGAGGCGGCTCGCCGGGCCTGCCGAGCAGGCGGACAGCAGGCCGCAGGTTGCCCAGCGGTGCCCGGCGAGGGGGGACATCCACGCAGCGCCCGCACAGGAAGCACGCTGGCCCGCGAGCCGCCTCGCGCGGCGGGCGTGGCAGCCACGGTGCTTCGTGTCGCCTCGATCCGGAGGAAAAATCCGCCGACCCTGTCGGCGTGTGTGAAGGGCTGTGCCGTTCGTCGTCGCTGTCGTCATCGACGTCGTTGCAGTGCTCTAGCGGGCTTGAGGGAAATCGACCCATGTCGTAACCACGTCAGTGGGAAGCCCCTTCCCTTTGTCCCTTCCCCGGCGGGGGGGGGTCCCTGGGGGGTCCCGCCCGGAGGGGTCCCGGGGGGGTCCCGCCCTGGAAGACAAGACGTCGAAGCCAAATCAAGCGCCCAAAGTATTGTAATTTACAATGGTTTGTTGCGTGCACGTGCGCAACCAAATCGTCCTCTTGTTGGACCAATTTTGTATGAGAGGGGTGCATTGTTTTGATTTGGTTGCGCGAAAGTTGATTACGAAGTGTGGTTTGGTTATGACTTGGTTATAAACAACTCAAATTTGGTCACGCTTCGATTACGCTATATCAAATTTGGTTACGATTGGGTAACGTCCCAATATGGTTACGATTTGGTTACGATTTGGATAAACGGGGTCCGTCGTGGAAACGGATGGTGTGCACAAGTGCTATTTCGCAGGGTTTCTGTAGTCTGTAGTTTTGTAAAGGCCCCCCCTCCGCGGGACGCGGACCAGCGACTGCACCGCCCCCCCATGCAAAGACCCTGCAACGACCATGCAAAGGCCACCATGCAAAGACCATGCAAAGACCACACCCTGCAAAGCCCCTGCAATACCCCAGGAGGCCCAAATATGCCTCCAGGAAGCCCCAAGAGACCCCCAAGAGGCCCTCCCCCAGAGGCCAAAATGAAGCCCCTGAAGAGGCCCCCAGACGGCTCCCAAGAGGCCTGCTAACTGCATCCAACAGGCCCCCGAGAGGCGTCCCACGATATCCGAGCGAACATCCAAGAGGCCTATAACCCACAACCCAGATGTGGTGGCGGGACTTGCCGCAGGCAGCTGAATAGTTAGTGTTGCGAAGAGCCAGGCCTGATGCAGCTGCATGTGGCGTGGAGCACGGCATGTTCTTTTTACGATGCGCGCCGCAGGGCAGTCAGGATCGGGAGCTGCCGAAGAGGTGGGCAGGAGGGCGCCGAACTCCCTGTGGGGCATGATACTTGTGAGGCCCTGCAGGATGGGCCACCAGTTCTGCTCACTCGCTGCCCCCGTGGCTGGGGGATAGAGTCGGGAAGGAACAGTTTTGCCTCTAAGCCCAAGGCGGGGTCTCCTGTGCTGGCAACATATGCCTCTTGTGGGCGCCTCATGGACCAGGGCGCCTGCGCGCGAGCCGCATTCAGCAAAACGCACGAGGAGCGAACGAGGAAGACGAACCGAGACCCGCGACCCCGCAGAAGCCCCTTTCCCAAGTGCGCAGCCCCCTAGGCATCTGAAGGTATGAAAGGGGTGTGGTGTAAAGGGGTGTGGTGCCAAAGTTGGACTTGGCGAGGATATCTATAGTAGATAGCACCGCCATCTCCACGATTGGCACCACACCCCCTTATGCCACACGCCGTTCCAACCTCCACAAGAAAGGACGCCTCCACCTGCGCCCCCGGCGGGGGGCGGTCGGCGACATGCTATGCGAATGGCAAAATGGGGCGCCAGGCCCGCGGCCCACCCGCAGACCCCCTCGGCGCCGCCGCCCGCTTCAGGGCACCCGCCGCAGAGCGCCCGCTCGGCCGCGGGCCAGAGGACCGCAGGCCCGCCCTGGAGGAGGAGTTTTTTTTTTTAAATAAAAAGGCAATGACTGACACAGCGTTTTGCTTGCCAGTAAAGTGACTGCCTCTGGCGGTGGCTGAGCGGAACGGGCCCGCACACACACCCAGGAGCCAGGGGCCAGTCGGAGCCACCAGACTCCACGGTGTTTACGCGAGCAGCTTGCAGAGGAGCGTTCTCCTCCTCTGCCCTGAGAGACTCATCCTCCAGTCTCGGCTGCTCTCGCGGGGCCTCGCCCCCCTCCCTGGAGGGATCGACCGCCCCACCGCCCTGCACCCCTGGCAGGCTCGGAGGAGGAGGCGGAGGAGGAGGTAGTGCTCAAGGGCGCGGGCTCGAGCCCGCCCTCGCCCGTGGCCGGTCGGGCCCCACGGTGGCCAGCCGGAGCCCGCGTGGAGAGAGCTCCAGGCAGACATCCCCCCCCTCGGCGCCTCTCTGGGCGTCTGGGCGCGCGCCCCGGAGCGGACCCCGGCACCGCCCAGCCAGTCGTTGTCGCGACGAGCTCCCGAAATCGGAGCCCCTGGCGCCGAGAAGGCGCGAACATGAGCCAACGAGCGCGAACATGATACGGCGCCCCTTCTTGGGTTTCCCACCTCACAGGATGCCAGCAGACCACACCCCAACTTACATGCTGAAGGTCGTTGGCTCGAACCTGCCCTCGGCAACAAGTGGTTTGGCCCCACAAAGGCCAGCCAAGCACCCCCCCAGTGCTCCCCCCCCTGCACATGATGCCTGCCAATTTCCGACTCCAAGCTGCCGAAGCAAGCTCTGCAAAGTGGTCTCTGAGGGACCCCCCAATCGAGAGCGAGATAGAGAGAGAGAGGTATAGAGAGGCCACAAGACGCGCCCAAGGTCACGACACACTCTCGGAACATGCAGGGTTTTTGTGAGGTCACGCCCAGCTTCTGATTTCAGCGTCTTGACTGCGTGTGGCGGGTTCCACAAACCCTGGATACAAAATGATCGGCATCTCTTATCGACCACACGCAAGAGTGACCCTGGGTAAGGGTGACCTTTGGTGCGCGGTTTCTTGGGGGCCGCGGGGGACCCAACACACAAGCGCGCAAGACGCAAATTACAACCGCATCGCCTTCGGCGATCGGGGGACCCCATTGAGCCCGCACCGAAGGTCACTCCGGCGAAAGGTCACCCTCACGCGTAGTCGATCTTGCCGCGACAACTTCTACTTCCGCGGGCTTGCGCCGGTGAGGCCGGCTTCGCTCTGCCTCCGCCGCCTTCCGCGGGCCCTCCGCCAAGGAAGAGGTGTCAACTTCTTTGGTCCTCGAGTACAGGGCCCACTATGGAGCCCCCAATGTGGCAGCCTGGCGGAGCCCTCGCGTCGTCGTGATCCTCCTCCTCGTCGTCGTCATCGTCCTCGTCCACGTCCTGGTCCTCGTCGCCGTCCTCGTAGTCGTCGTCGTCGTCGCGTCGCCGTTGCCGTCGCCGTCGCCGTCGCCGTCGCCGTCGCCGTCGCCGTCGCCGCCGCCGCCGTCGTCGCCGCCGTCGCCGTCGTCGTCGTCGTCGTCGGCGTCGTCGTCGTCGCAGCCGCCGAAAGGACCTCTGCGTCAGGCTCCTCGGCGCGTCTGGGGGGTTTGGGGGGCGCTTGCGGGCCCGGGGGGGCCATCGGAAAAAGCAGCCTGGGCTGGATGCACGGGTCCTGGGGGAGGGTGAAGAGGTCCAGGGACCACGCAAGGAACAAAACCACGACGTCGGATGTCCTCTTCGTTCTCCCCACCGTCTCCGCCCCCAGAGGCTTGCTCCCCTTATTTTCTCTTACTCCTTGTCATCCACTCGCCTGCGCAGCAGCTGGGACTTCGTCTTGACGACATCTTGGCCGTCCTTGCCCGGCAAGGACGAGGAGGGGGGATGAGGAGGGAGGAGGAAAGTTTAAGCTCAAGGCTGCCGCTGCGAGTGCGTAGCCGCTTGGAGGAAGGAGGGGGAGGAAGGAACATATAATGAATGAAGACGAAAGGAAAGGGACGATGGGAGGGAGAGCAGACGGAATTCGAAGGGAAACACGAAAGAGGAGGCTGGATGAGGATGCAGATGGGGAAGAGCACGACGATAAAGAGAACAAGGGCACGGAAGCGAACTGGAGACAAGAGACTGCGCCAGTGTCGTCCGTGGGGGACGGCCCTGCGCGGGGCTAGGCAGTGGCGCCGAGGCGCCAACATCAGCCGAACAATGGAGAACACAATCTGGCCAGTCAATCGGACCCCCGTGGTTTTGCCGCTTTAGGCTGTCCTATGCGAGACTCAAGCTGCGCCAGAAATCAAAGCCTTGAAGCTGCTGGTGCCCAGCCATGCTCACACGTGGTACTAACAAGTGCTGTTGCATCGCAAATCCACCCGTTTATACGAAAGGTGCGGCAAACAACTTCGCACACATGTTTTTTGATGTTGGGTATCAGATATAGCCGTCCGCCCCAACTGCCGTGTGTCGTCGTTTACTGCCGTCCCAGGGAACCTCCGCTGTAACCGTTGTTGTCGCATACACCAGTACTCGTACCCGAATTCTGAAATCAGGACGCTGCCACAATCGCCCCGACAGCTTGAGTGCAAGCAGTTGCGCATGCAAACAGTTGCACATGCCAATCAAAGAGACGCACATACCCAGAATATAAGGCTCCGCAAGGGCCCAAATCTCGCCAGCCTACTTGGCGCGGAGAGCGCCTTTCGCCGCGACTGCGACATCATGCCTCGCAGCGCAAGGTTGTTCCTCGCACCGCCTGACTGGACAAGCAAGTCAACAATTCACATGGCAGAGAAACCTGCGGGTAGCAGAGCGCGGCGATCCATCGCGCAGTGCACGACAGGCCGCTTCAGCCTCACAAGCGAAGTCCAGGATCGTGCACTGGCAAAATTGAACAAGGCCTCGCCGCGCGTCGTACTCCGCCTCCGCGGTCATTCCGCGATCATTGGGACCACAAGGCAAAACTCACCCCGCGCGCGAACTTGACCCACAGGACCGCGACCGAACTTGAAATCTCACCACATCTCTCGCGTCGTACCTCGAGGGGTAGGGCCCCCAGGTGGCGTTCGAGCGTGGCCTTGTCCACTCCGTTGGTCAGCATGTCCAGTGGGGCGTGCTTCGTATTGGCGCCTCCTCGAGCTCGTCACTCTTCTGCGAAGCAATTGGCAATGGGATCCAGAGCCGCCCTGCTTCAAGACGGCGAACCTTGCCGACCCCTGGCCATCGCTCGGACGTCCATTTCCTGTGTTTGTTTGCGATTTCGTGCGTGGTTTTTTCGCGAAATGATCAAGGATGCTCCTCGACGGTCCTCGCCGAAAGAAAAACACACACGTCCGAGCGATGCCAAGTCCCCTGGCCCCCCTTCGCTGGCACAGGCCAGCGCCGGCACTGGACTCGACCCGGCCTCCAGCCGCACAACCCAGCGGGCACCCAGGCGAAGGTCGACGGCAGGAAGCCACACAGCCGCATGCCCAACGCCCGACTGCGCACCTTCGCCACGCCGGAAGCCTCAGCCTTGCCACTGCTCAGAATGACTGGAACCTGCGCGCTCGAGCTGTCGCGCCAGGGGTGCTCACCGAACGTCGCAATCGCTCCCGAAGTAGATCTTCTCGTCAGCGGGCAGCCTGCCCAGTCAGTGCACTCAACGTCGCGACGGCGCACGATCGGAAGCTGCTGTCGCTCCCAGAGCCCCGCCAGGGTCGGCGCGTGGATCAGATAGCGAACGCACACATTGGGCATCTTGTTGTGTCGCACCGTCAGCCGAGCCATCCCTCGCGCCGCTCCGTGAGCAGCGAACTGGATGTCATGGCCCAGAGTCACGGCGGTCCAACGCCACGAATCTCAAGCGCATCACCGCGCTCCAAGCACATCCTGGACCCACCAGCCTCGGTCTCCGACAGCTCCTGCTCCGTCTCAAGGTTCGCGAGGATCTCCCCAGACGGCGCGACAACGCCAGCTGAGCGGCCGACGAGGCCAACCTGCAGGAGCAGCACTCCACGATGCCGCGAATCGCCCTCGTACTCGATCCGCTCGAGCCCACGATCTCCAGCAGGTAACCTGCGAATCGCTCGTTCGAAGATCGTCGTGGGCGTCCTGCCCCGGCGCCAGGGGCCCATGGCCCCGCGACTCTCGACGATTGCGGGGCGGCCGATCTGGCCCGTCATCCATCTGCGCTCGAGGCGGGCCCCCTTTAGGATGAGGTCGTCGCCGCGACGTGGGGGGCGCGGCATCCGACTCGCAAGCGGACGCGCACAAGGAATATGGACTGCTCGTTTACCCATAGCGGCTTCGCGCACCTCTTGGAGCTTCAGCTCGAAGTTCTGGCCCCCCCCTCACGAACTCCACAAGGGTGCCGCGTGGGCCCCTTGCTTTGCCAGATGCATGTTCTGCTGTTTCGAAGGCATCTCAATGCGCAGCTCGCGCTTCATGTCGATGTGGGGGCGCGCCTGGCCGATGCTCATGAGCGCGAGCCCAGCGTCGTCGAGAAGGCACTGCTGCGTCGCCATGGCGCCCGACGCCATTGCCATGAAGCCATCGAGCGGGGGCGCGGCGCTAAACGCGGCGCCCATGTCCTGCTCGCCGATAATGCTGCGCTTCTTGGTCTCCGCCACCACCAGCTGGGATCGGTGCCCCGTTTGCCGCGTCCGACCCCTTTGATGACGTCGACCTGGCGCGCAGGGATCGGCGCCTTGACGCCCCTGCACCCCGGCGCGACATTCCGGCCGGCCAGCCCCCAGTTGCGCTGGTCGTCGACCTGGCGACCCATGTCCTCATAACGAGTGCGCCAGAACAGCGCTGGACCCAACGAGCAAAGAACGCGGTCCGAGGGGGCGGTTCCCATCTGCTCGCATCGATCTCCACCCCCCGACAAGTGGCGGCGCCCTCTAGACCCGACTCCTCGAGCGCTGGCCCCGCGCCCGGCGCGCCCGCGAAAGCGCCGCCATCAAGTCCTCGTCGCGGTGCTCGGCGGTGCCCTTGGAGGGTCGCATGGAGACGCGCCGCCGGGCATCTCTCAGCCTGGGCGCGCCTGCAATTGAGGGCGCCCACGCGCAGGCGCGCGCGGGGCGCTCGGCGACTGGAGCTGTCGGTCGCCGCAACATTCCGCCCTCAGCCCCTCTCCCCTGCCGGCAGAAAAAGAACTTGCCACTGCGCCGGCGCTCCGCGCCGCCCGTCTGCAGAGGCTCGATCATCTCCTCCAAGCTCGGAGACTCGGCTGCCTAGGGGTGCTCGCGCAAGACCAGCCAGCCCGATGAAGAAACATAAATGGAAGATGTCATCGGCCCGGCTGGCCACTATGCGCGTTAGACGGCGGTCCGCGCGGGGGCGGCCCCGCCGTCGGCGCGCGCTCAATATCATCGCTCTCCGCCGCGCACCAACGCTGCGCCCCCAGGTCGGACAGGCTCCGCCCGCGCCGCGCGTCGCAGGAGCCGCCGCGCGCGACGCCGAACGCCCGCGCCCCCTGGCCGAAGCGGCCCAGCTTGTAGACCTCCACGATTCCCACCGCGCCGATCAGGCAGCCCACCTCGCCCATGAAGCCCCCCCCGCCCCCCGCCCATTCCACGCCCCCTGTCAGTCGGCGCTCTACTCCGCGGAGGTCGGGGGGCCACAACTGCGCGGCGCCCTGGAGAGGAGGCACCTGAGGATCAAGAGGCCCAGACCAAGGCGCTTCACCTCGCCTGCCGGCCCCCAGTGATCAGGCGGGACCCAGCCTCACGCTGCCCGGCCCGTTGCGCGGGGGAAGACTCCATGGATCCAACCGCCCCCGCACGGGCGTGGCAGCGAGCCGCGCCCGCCCGCCCTACTCATAGTAGTCTGGGCCAACGCATAGCGGCGAGGAGCAAATGAAGGGTCGCACCTGAGACGTGTTCCACAAAGCGCACCCCCACCGCACCAAGCTTAGGTCACCGTGAGGCGACGGGAGAAGTCCGAACTGGGGGGAACCCGCACGATCCCCCATCTGTGGGTTGGCCGCCCCCAGGCGCCATCGCAGTTCTGCGCGCGCACTCGACCGAACGCCCCCCTGGGCACCCGGAGAGCGTTGCCCCTCGGCTCAACCGGGAGGTTGGGGAACTTCGAGCCTATTTCGGCGCCGTGCCGCCCAGTCTCTTACCCCGAGACGCATGCCGCCCCCGCCCGACTCGGCGGCCCATGGGCGCGCTGGCGCGGTTGGCGGCCACGCCCGGCACCGCGGCCCCAGGAGCAGAGCGTAGGTCAGCGAGAACTACGGGCGCGCCCCCCGACGCCATAGTTCAGGCTGGACGTGGCATTTGTTTCCGAGGATCCGAAACGCTGCGTGCAGCAACCCAAACACGAAACCCGACACGCTACACGCACGAACCCAGCACGCATGCCACGCCGCGCAAACACGCAATCACACAAATACACGACAGGCGCATGCAACGCTCAAGCGCTCGCACGCGCGCGCGCAAAGACACCCGACCCGTCTGTTGCCAAGATTCGAAGTTCCGCCGCGCCCCCCGACTGGCAGGAACAGCACCTTGTCGCCGAACTCGGCCTCCGACCTCTTGCAGGGTCGGCCGCGGCGCCTCTCTCGCGGCGTTTTGCCGCCTATTCTGCGGCGACTCGCGTCGATGGCCATTGCCGCCCGCTGCGCGAGCCGCGCCACTAGCGGATAGATCGCGAGCAGGTCCTCGCCGAGCCCTCGCCAGCGAGCTCCTTCACTCCCGGCGTCAGCGACCTCGCCGTCGCATTCACCCCACGCGGCGCGTGCTCCGCCAAGCCGTTCGACTGCGAGTCGCCGGGGCTCGAACGCTCGGCGGCCAGCCCCGCCCCGCGGCGCCCAAACGAGAGCCGCCCCACCTGGTGCTCGAGCGCGATGGACCACTCCGGCGGAGCCACCCACGCGCGCTTGTCCGAGACCCCTCGCCCCGCGATGCACGTCGGGCACCGCGGGCGGCATGGCTCGTGCACCGCAACCGCCAGCCGCCAGCGCTCGGCCGTCGGCCCCTCCCATGGGAATTGGCCGTCCGAACATCTTCGCCAGCGCCGCTGCCGGCGCCTCCGCCGCCTGCTGCACCGGGCTCTGCGCCTTCGCCTCGCCCCCCGCGGCGGCCGAGCCTGCCGCGATGGCCTCCTCGCGCGCCATCGGACAGAGGCCTTTGGGCCGCGCAGGCGACCGCCTTGCCGGGGAAAGCCCGAGCCTCCTCGCAGGTGCAGGGGCATTCAGGGACTTCATCGCTCGGTAAACCCCTGTCACTCGAAGCCGCGCCGCGAGCGAAGGCCCTGCGCCATGGGCCTTGCCGCCCGCGACCTTCTCGACCTGGGCGCAATTTCTCAGCGGCGCCCTCGGGGGGCGAACCTTCGGGCAAGGCCGACGCCGCCGCGCGCGAGTCCGCGCCGATCTGGAGCGAGCGGTCGCTGCCGCTCTGCTCCGTATGCGCCATTTCCTATGGCAGCCCGCGTATGAACGCGCCGCCAACGTCCTTCTCTTGCTCTGGCTCTTCGTGGTCGCGGCCGCCCTGGCCCTCGTGGCCCGTCTCGCCCTTGTCGCACTTTGCGCCGTCCCCGAGCGAACTGATGGTCTTGCTCAGGCACGGGGTTTTGGCGCGGCCCGTCCCGTCGCAACGATGGCACATCGTTGGTCCTGCCCATGCGCCCCACCCCCCACTTGGCTGATATTTGCTTCCATTGTTGGGCGGCTCGCCTACAAGATATTAGCCTTGTAGCCAATGCGCTCCACGACCTGGTTTCTCGCAGTCACGCTTGCAGCGCCGCCGCCGCCCGCAAGTGCGGCGCGCGGCGCCCTTGCTTCCACCTTTGCCACCCAGCGCGCATATGTCCATCGGGGCCCGGCCGTTCGCATCCGCCACGACTGAGGTCACCCGTCGGTAGTTCGCGACTTCGCTCTTGAAGTAGCCCCAGGTATTAAAGTTGGTCGAGTTCAGGAGCAACTGATCCTTCGAGGACCCTTTCTCTCAGACGTTCAGCACCATGCCCATGTTGAGGTCCAGACTGACTTTCTGTGTCGGCCTCTGCTCATGCCTTGTGAACTTATCTTTGGAACAGCTCGACTCTGGACTGGATGTCTCCAGCGAAACTCCAGAGGTGCAACAATAGTCCAGCCAGCTGGGCTGCCGCTGCGCTGTCGTACCGTACCTCTAGTTGAGCGACCGCCGCGCCAAAAGGCCCTCGTCAACTCCACTGGTCACCGCGATGTTGAGGGGCTCGTTCCTCGCCATCCGCACCAGCACGTAACACAGGCGTGCGTATGCCTCCGCACCTTCTGGAAACAGATCGTCGTTCATCATATCTTCGTCTGGGCCCTCGGCAACTGGGATCCTGGTTTCCAACGCACTGCTGCGGAAACCCGCACACGCTCTTAGAACCGTGTTCCAATCCACCTACTTGTCACCCGTTCCGTCGAACACGTCCGGGCGGCCGAACATTCCGGTGCCCACAACGAAGTTGTTCCCGCCCCGCGGCCTCCCCCGCCGCGCCATGAGCCTCCTCGAGCCTCGGCTGCCAACGTCGCGGCCGCAGCCGCCTGCTCTGCAGCTGCTTTTCTCTCCATCCAATGTATGCTGCTGTGCTGCCTCCGACTGTTGCAACCTCTGTTCTGACGCCATCGGGTCGCTTTGCTCAGGCATCTCCTACCGTCTGAAGGCCCAGCACTAGATGTTACACCGTTTCGCCTCCATCGAATACTCCGTGATGTCGTGCCAGAGCCAACGCACACCCCGCGAAATGAAGGCATCCGTGCACCGGGCGCCTCCAGCGCTCTATCACTCTGAGGTCCGCAATGTGGCTCCAATGGATCGCTTGTTCGGTGTTATCTTCGCCGCTGCCAGAGCTTCCGCACATCATCATAAGAATAGGACGGTGCCTTTTTACCGACCTAGCAGCTTGAACACAACTACTTGCGTATGCGCGCAATTACCTATGTCAGCCAAGGGATACAAACAAAAACGTGCAAGGGCCAAATAACAGGTTCCGCAAGGGCCCGGATCCCGCCAGATTCAGTACAGTATTTCGTCACGCGATGGAACCACTCGTGCCATACTCCGAAGGCGTCACTTGGGGCCCATGACCCCGGTGACGTTGCAGAGCCTTTGGTGATCGAGTCGGTCGTGCTATTGCCTGTGGAGCCGCATCTGGTGATCGGGTTGCTGCTGGTGGTGGGGCCTTTGCTCGGCGTAGAAATTGCGCAGGGGGGGCGATATGGATGAGAAGGATGAGGAAATGGGAGGAGGGAGGAGGGAGAAAGAGGAGGAGGAAGAGGAGGAGGATGAGGAGGAGGAGGAGGACGAGGAAGAAGATGATGATGATGATGGTCATGATGATGATGGTGAAATAGAGAGGGAAGATGCCGTGGATAAAGGGAAAAACGCGGACGAACGCTGAGGAGGGGCAGGAAAATGAATGGGGGCGGAAAGTGTAATGAAGGAGGACGGAGAGGAGACAGATAGGTGAGGGAGGACGGAGAGGAAACAGAGGGGAACGGTGGCGGGGGAGGAGGATGCATGAGGGAGGGGGGATGGGAAGGGAACGGGGGGGGGCGGAGGGAGGAGGAGGACAAGGAGGAGGAGGAGGAGGAGGAGGAGGAGGAGGAGGAGGAGGAGGAAGGGGGACTTCGGGGCCCCCTTATCCCAGTCCTAACACTTACCTCCCAGGACCCCACACCCACCCGAACACTCCCTAACCCTCACCATCCCGCCCCCCCTTCCCATCGTTTCCTCATCCCCTCTGCTCCGCCCCTTTCCCCTCCTCCCCTGCCTCCGCCCTCCTTGACTGTGACACCGTTGGCGTCAGCTGTCGGCGTGGAAGCCGAACTTCGAACACTCGCTTGAGATCCCTTTCCCGCGATCCCAGACTCGAGCCCCTCGGGGTCGCACTGGGCGCCTGCCTCTCCGCGGGGGAGTGCGCGCGATCTGGCGAGCCCGCGGTCGTCCCGCCCTCTGCGCCCGCGCATGCGCAGCCCTCGCGCGTGCTCGCCCGGGTTTCGGCACGACGAGCCTGCTCGAACTGCGGGTGCGAGGGCCAGCGCCCGCGGCCCTCTCCTCGCGCCCTGTGGTGCGCGGCGGGGCCGCGGCGCTGCAGCCACTGCGGTCGCCGCTCGGCCGCTTGTTGGCGCGCGCGGAAGGGCCCGCACGGGCGCCCGGCGCCCTGGCAACTCGAGTGCGCCGCGGGGCACTGGGCGCCGGTGCCTTCCACTTTTTTTACCAACGCAAGATGAGCCCAGTGGCAAGGAGGGGAGAGACGACGACGGACGCGGCGACGACACGACGGGGGAGGGGGGGAGGAAAGGGGGGGGGGGACGCGCATGCTGCGCGCCGCGCGCGCGCTCAGCCCGGCAGGCTGCCGCCGCCGCCTGCCGCGGGCTGCGCGGGCCCCGGCAGGCGGCGGCGTGGCGGCGCCTCCGCCGCAGCGAGTCGCCAGCCGGCGGGTGCCGCAGCAGCGCTGCGGCCGCGCCGGCGCGAGCCGCGCTCAGCGCTCGGCGCCGGTGCCTCCCACCAGCCTGTGGACGGGAAGGCAAGGTCGTCGTCGTTCCAGGCAAAGAAGGCCCACTACGTCGTCAAGACCTGTGCCGCGAAGACCTTCAAGAACGAGTTCTGAAGGCGCCGCGACGGCTCCAGGGAGTCTCAGACAAACACAAGTAGATAGAGCTGTGACGCGTGCCTGGGGAACCCGCCACCGCCAATTGCCGCCACGGCCACATTCGCATCATTCGCATCAGTCGTTCTCGCCGCCGCCGGCTGGCCAGTGCCTCAGCGGCCTCCAGGTGCCCACGGCGTAGTTCTTTGGAACCGAGCATGCAGGGCTTGCAAACGGAAGGCCAAGCAGGAACGCAAGTCTGCGGCGAAAACCGCCAGGGTGGCGGATGCACAAACGGTGCTCCTTGGCGCCAGGTCGTGGCGTTTGAAGCCGGGTATGCTGCTCCCTCGCGCCAGGTCATTATCGCCCGATCGCACGGCACATGCAATTCGCAACGGCCCGACGTTGTGCAATGGGTCGAAGTTCAGCTGGCTAAAGCCGAGCTGGACGAGGAGGAGATACGTGCGGAGCCTGCCTCGGCTGAGCGGCACATCAGTAAGTGCCAGAGCGCACTGGCCAGAGCGAAAAGAGTGCACGAACAGTTCCAGAATCTAGGCCCTCACGAGGCGAAGATCAAGGCAAATGTCGAGACCGCGCCCGCCGCCATTCCAGGGCGTTGTGGTGAGGATATCGACGCTGCTGACCCTAGCAAACGATGCAAAGGAAGTGTCCCTGCTGATGGTGTAGGCACGGCCGCTTCGGGTCTCCCTTTGATGGTCGAAGCGACCCCCGCTATTTACATTGCGGCCCTGCAGAGAACCCACTCCCAAGTTTGCTGCCACCTTGCCCAGCTGAGCCAGCCACAGCAGATGCTCACGGCTGTCCTTGGTGGATTCTCGCTGTCCATGCCCGCTGCCCCGCCAGCGGCCCCCTGAAAACAAACGTTGCCGAAAACACTCCGCTTTGCTTACTTCGCGACAAGATCGTCCAGATCCTCATCCTCCTCCTCCTCCTCCTCCTCCTCCTCCTCCTCCTCCTCCTCCTCCTCCTCCTCAAGGAAGAAAGATCCTTGGTCGGCCCTCGGAAGTCGTACGAGGATTGCGACACGGTCGCCGCGAAGGCCTCGTTGGCGGGCACGCTCGGCGGAGGCACTCCGGGGCGCCCCCCTCCCATACAACAACTGATGATGATCCGACGGAAACAATTCATAACGAAAAGCTGGTCTCGAGGAAGGATCGACGGGGCCGAAGCCCAAGTGGCGCATCGGGGATGGACAGAACCCCCTTTAGTAAAACGTGGTTTAGTGAAAACGACCTCGGGCCCAAACCTGGCGGGCGCAAGCCTGGAAAATGACGGCCGCGGCGCCCTCTCGAAAACCGAAAACGGACAATTCACTAATCGACGTGTCAGGGTGGGGGTTCTGTCCAACCCCGAGCGCACACCAAAGATGTGAAGACGCTGATCCGCCGGACGAGCAAGCGAAGCAGACATGTACACTCGATCTGGAATGCCCGAGGCTGCCTCAGCCTCTGCGTCATCTGCAGTGGTCGACGTGGTCAGCACGGTCAGCTGTGGTGGGGCCTACGGCGCTGGCGCTGGGGAGAGGGGGAGGGCGAAATGAGGAGGACGAGCAGGAAGACCTGGAGCAGAAGGACGTGGCAGGGGGTGAAGTGGGCCGAGCAGAAACAAGAGACGATCATTTGATGCGCGCGCGGGATACAACATGAACGTGATTAGGACCTCTAAGAGGATAGCGGGATGATATCTGCGTGTCAGGTACAACGGTCAGTCGATCAATAAGCTTGAATATGAACGGCCACACGTGGATATTGTAGGAGCCTCGTGCTCGATGCACACGCGGAAGGCTCTAACCCACCCAGGCGGCCCGCATGAATAGAGCATGTTGAAAACTGTAGCTGGTCTTCTTCTCGGAAGGGAGAACTCGGGAGCGAACATCATTCATCAAAACTCGTTTCACGTCTACAGTTTGGAACCATTCGGGGTGATGGGAGAATTGGGGTTGGGTGCAGCTTTCCTGCTCTGTTTCGCTTATTTCGCATCTCTACGTACTCATGCACATGTTAGCCAACGCGGATACACATCAATGTCTACCCGTTGAGTTTGCACGGTATGTGGTGAAGTCGATGTGACGCAACACATGTGGTGCTATCCATGTGGCGCAATGTATGATGTGACATGAATGTTGTCAAACTTATGTTGTGCAACCTATGTGGTACTACATGTGTTACGCAATGAATGCATACCCATACATGCGGTGCTACTTATGTGGTGCGATCTATGTGGTTCAAGACGTGTGGTGCAGTCTACGTGATGAACATTTCGCGGTGATAAGCGTGTTGTGCAACCTACGTGGTGCGATCTATGTCTACCCAGATGTGTGGTGCTATGTATGTGATATATATATACATATGTGTATATACACATGTGTGATCCAATATGTGCGGTGAAGTGTGTGCCTCGGCGCCCTCTTGGCGCAAACCGTTCCTGCTGCAGGTGTATGACCGATCGGAACCAAACCATCACCCGCCCAACTGACGGTAATGTACCTCCACTTATCGAACACTGATCAGTGCTACCATGGGAGGCGCCGGTCCTCCAATGTAGTCCCAAACAGCTAGGGGGTCGGCTGGGAGGTGTCGTGCCTCGATCGGTAGATCCTGCCTGACTCTGGTGCAACTCCAATCGCCCCCGACGCCCCTAGCTTTCTGCGAGCGTGGGAGCGCGACCTGAGGCGGTACTGGTGACCGACAGATTGAAGACGTACGATCAGAAAATCTAAGGGCACGTTCGCAATCGGTACTCGGCTCCGCTGGATGCTAAACGGGACCCCATGGCCGCCGGGGAACGAGAACTCCTCGTGGGGCATCTGAGCTGGGAGGCCAGTCTCAGGCTCGATGCGGCCACCTGCAGGGCTGCTGGAACGCCGAAACCGAACAATCACCTGAACCTCCGTTCGGATGAACGCCTGTTGACCGAAACCCAGGAGAGCCCAGAATCAAATCGATAATTCTGATCGGGGATCGGAATGGATCCGATTGGTGGAAAGCGGCAGCCAAATCGGGAGCAGTCGAATCGGCAGAAGTCGGTGGCTAGCAGGCCTCCACTGAAAAATCGGAGGCCAAATCCGAATCCCACGTCGAATCGAATCGGACTCGGAAGCCGTCGAAATGAACCCCCCTCACCTTCTGCGGGCGCCGCCGTTGAGTACCGTTGATCCGACCCCCATCCCCAACGGCGTGGCCTGGGCCCCGCTGGCCGATTGACCTCCCTGGATGGGGACATGGGCCGTTCCCCTCGTGTTCCGAAGCGCACATCCCCACCTGGGGGGCTGAGATCGTCGGGCTCGGAATTGGGATGGGGATGGGGACCCAGACTACCGACGTCATGTTTTTCTCGTAACGTCGACCCCAGCTCGACCCATTCCCCGGGTCCGGCTTCTCATCCTGGGTCGTTTTTTTCTACGGCCCCGATGCCCGGGAAGGGCCCCCCACAAGCCGAAAAGAGCGAAAGCTGTCCGTCGTGATGTTATCAGGGCCCGAGGGGTCTTGGCACCGGTGAAACGCTACTGGACCCCAGCCCCCCTCTCCAGGCGCCTCTGTCAACCGCCACGCTGCTAGACGAGCGCGTTCCACTACTCGCATAGTAAATACTCGCAAATGCAAATGACCTGGATCCGCCGCGGGGGATCTACGATAAATTATATCGAAGCAGACATGTGCTTTCGGACGTTTGCAAGTAGGCACTTTGCGAGTAGTGGAACACGCTCGGTGAGCTGCGAGAGAGGCCCCGGGAGCCATTTTCTCTACCGACACGTGTCCGGGCGGGTGCTCGCCAGCCGCTGCCGGGCATATCGGCGGCGCCTTGTCCGTCTCGTCCACGTCATCGGGGGGATCCTGGCGCGGGTACTTCGCCATCGGTCAAGCCTCGATCCTCGATCCTCGACCCTCGATCCTCAATCCTCGACCATGGATCCTCGATCCTCCGATCCGCGACCCCCTGTCATAGGATCCTCGATCCACGATGCTCGATCGGTCCTCGATCCCCGATCCTCGATCGATCATCGATCCCCGATCCTCGATCCTCGATCCCCGATCCTCCGATCGATCCTCGATCCTCGATCCTCGATCAATCCTCCGATCGATCCTCGATCCCAGATTCTCCGATCTATCCTCGATCCTCGACGGATCCTCGACCTTCGCAGCCTCCTCCTCCTCCTCCTCCTCATCATCATCATCATCCTCCTCCTCCGCCTCCGCCT